GTGAAGTCGGTGCCAAAGTTGGCGGTGAAGTCGGTGCCAAAGTTGGCGGTGAAGTCCACACCCGAGACCGTAAACTTATGGATACCGCAGTCGGTGGTGAAATTGACGCCAAAGTCGGCGGTGAAGTCGGTGCCAAAGTCGGCGGTGAAGTCGGTGCCAAAGTCGGCGGTAAAGTCCATACCCTTGGCTGTACTCGTATGGGCACAGAAGGCGGCGGTGGTGCGGATGTCGGTGACGTTTGACCCATTTGCCAAACAACCACTGGTTTTTTTGTAGCCTTTGTCGCGACAGTCGGTGAACTCCGAGTGCCGATCACTGGCGTGAGAGTGACGGGTGTTGTGGCCGTTTCGGGCGGATCTGTGCCCACAATTATCACGTCTTTGGAGGCTTCAGAACCATTCAATTTATTCATCTCTTGTACAACACTTTCGTTCAACAATTGTTTCCATTTTGAGAATTTTGCATCAAAATCACCAAAACTGCTGAAATCGTCAAAAGGGTTATCTTTGATACTAAAAATGTCCAAATGTTTCGGACTCTCGGTTATCAACGCACCGCCATTTACTGCATATTTACATTGTTATATAAATTAATTATACATTTATAAGTTTAATAAATGTTATGCATTTAGTGAAATAACTAGTTATTATACTTACGATCATCATCTTCCTGACAATATGCATAATGTGGTAAAATAATTGCAATTATTCCTATTGATAATAAGTATAAATTAATTTGTTGTTGTGTTTTATCATACATTTTATATATTTAGTAATGTTAAACACATGACATTTTATTAAAATGTAAATAAAATAATTACAATATGGTCGCAATGATAGTTCATTATAACCTTATTTGCAATTAATTATATATATATATAATTAATTATAATTGCTTTCAATAGATTCTATAAATTAATAACTTGTAATATTTTATTATTCATAGGTGTTTTCCATGTATTTTAAATAATACTAAATAATGTTATTTGTTTAATGTTTAGCAGATTGAAAACCGAGTGTTTGCGGGTCTGTCCGCCGGTTCCGCATGTGATCGCTGACCACTCGTAGCGCTGACGGCAATGATTGGGTCACTACTGTGTTGTAGACTACAACTTATAGTTGACGAGCGCTGACTGTACTGTACTTTAAGCGTTTCGGCTGTGCCCTGAGTACAGCCCACCGACAAAGCGTTGTGTCTAAGACTACGGACCAATTGTTGATAGTTTGTGGCATACAGTGGACTATTAGGTCCGGCGTTTATATTTCGCATTCTGTCCAACTGCCCCTAAAGTTATTTATCATTTTTTTACTAATTTATTATTATCAAATAAATTCTATTTAAAGTAATTAACATTATAAGATCTTTTAGCTGTTAAATTTAAATTTAGCAACGTTCTATACAAAGGTTTAAGCATACAGAATTTAATTACAATTGTTATTACCAACATTAAATAAATTTTATTTATATTTCTGAGAAAAAATTAATTAATATTAAAAAATTGATATCTACTTTTGTAATGAATTAAGTTGATGTAAAAATAGTGGATAATTTTTAAATCTGTCACTATATAATTACGGGTAATATTTATTATTGTAATTTAAATATACAAAATTTTAGTTTAAGTTTTTTATGTTCAATCACGTCAAATAAATGTTTAATTCTTAATTTATAAATTAGGAGAAAATTACAAAATATCACATCAATCCTAATTTTAATAAATAATTTGAATTATTAAAACAAAATTTTAATTACTATTTGTGATATGAAATAATGGATAAGTCTATGTCCACTATTTGCTCTCCAGTTTATAGTAAACACATACCCAAAATAGTACCACTAAAATATTGCAACATTGGGCACACTAGGTATATCAAAAGTGACAGACCACTGTTCACTGTTGGACATGCCTAATGGCATATAATTGTTGGACATTTTGTTGGTAATGGGGTTCATATTCATGAAGGTGGGCACCATATGCTGGTAGTTTGTAAAGAGAGACGGTAACGGTGGCAATAAATTAGGGAAAGCGCCCGACCGGCCGCTATCTGCGCCCCCGTATAGCGACTGTTGACTCGAGCCGTACAGGTCTTTCATAGGATTGATAATGAAGGGAAAGTTTTGCAAACTTTTCACGGCTATTGAGTGCCGATTGAATAATGCGGGCGTTGGTTGTTGACGGGCGACCGGCGCCGAAGTCGGTGCCAAAGTCGGTGCCAAAGTCGGCGGTGAAGTCCGTAACCGAGGTTTTAATTTTATGGATACCGGAGTCGGTGCCAAAGTTGGGCGTAAAGTCCTCACCCGAGACCGTAATCGTTTGGACACAAAAGTTGGCGGTGGTGTAGGTGTCGACCATGTTTGTTTTGGTTGCCAAACATTAAGTATTGGTCGTGTTTTAGCTTTTGTCGCGACAGTCGGTGAACTCCGAGTGCCTATTGGCGTGAGAGTGACGGGTGTTGTGGCCGTTTCGGGCGGATCTGTGCCCACAATAACCACGTCTTTGTAGGCTTCGGAACCATTCAATTGATTCATCTCTTGCATCACACTTTCGTTTAACAATTGTTTCCATTTTGAGAATTTTGCATCAAAATCACCAAAACTGCTGAAATCGTCAAAAGGGTTATCTTTGATACTAAAAATGTCCAAATGTTTCGGACTCTCGGTTATCAACGCACCGCCATTTACTGTATTTTTATATAATTACATATTATGTAGCAATTATACATTTAATAAAATGACTTTAGTTATTATATTTATAAAAGGACCTTACGATCAAAATCTTGCTGACAATGTGCATAATGTGGTATAATAATTGCAATTATTCCTATTGATAATATACATAAATTAATTTGTTGTTGTATTTTATTATACATTTTATTAACTGTAAATAAAATAATTACAATATGGTAGTTCATTAATGATCTATTTGTAAATAATTATATTTATTAACTAATTAAAATAATAATTACTTGTAATATTTTATTTATTAAGTACTTTCCCGTGTATTGTAAACGAAATTAAATAATTTAATTTGCTTAATAGTTGCAGATTTAAAAATTATTTTAATTCTACAATTATTTGTTATATACAGTACTGTATAATTAAAGCCACAATATTTAAAACATATTCAAACGACATTTTAGCGTCAAAACAAAGCCTATTTAACACATTGTTTATCTCACAAAGTTTTTACAGCAATAAATCTATAATGTTTTTGTAATATAAATATCAATAATAAAATTGAAAGTAAATTACAATCTCCCCTTCAGAATCAATAATAAAATATATAATAAAAATGACATATAAATGCACAAAATAATAAAAACATTTTGTTTTAGTTGGAAATATTATAAAATAACTAAAATTTATTTTGTATATGAAATCTAAATTTGGGACAATTGTGGGGAAAGCGATGGCAATAGTGTTTTGTGTTCGCTCTGTTCGCGTGACAATAGGCCACACCATGAACTCAAAACCCATACTTTTTAATACACAAAATATTCATTGTTTTTGTGTCATTATTAACAATATTTATTATTTACATCATTTATCACATCCTCTGCCCGTCTCTCTCACGTAATCTCCGCTTCACTTTCTCTCTCATATTCTCTCTCTCTCTCGTCTGATCCATATATTTCATGCTTTCATTTATAGATAAAACTTTATAAAATAAAATTCACAAAAGTTTTTAGTGATTTTTTACAATATCTTTATATTATTCTTATTAAGAAATTGAATGTTGTATTTGTATAACACATAAAAATTTAAACAGAGTAAACAATTTGATTAAAATAAATTGCAGACAATTTTTATAATATAATTATTAATTATCACTACTAATAATGACACAGATTTTGTTCAATGAAATTTATTTATATGAATTACAATTAGAGCCAGCATTTGACTCTCTCTCTCTCTCTCTCTCTCTCTCTCCCCCTCTGCCGATTACTCTGGCTATAAAATGATAGGTCAAGGCATATATGGGTGCGCTATATATAAAACAATAAAATTATATTTATTAAAAAATCTATGCGAACGGACTGTTTTCACATGACAATTGGCTGTATATGTTATTATTATGTTAATTATTATCGCAATTAATTGACTTAATTATTTCGACAACAAGTGAAAACATTTTTTCATTCACACTCTTAACAGAGTATATAATAGTCGGTAAAAGATCGTAACAAATCATATCAACAAAACATCACAACTAGAAAAGTGTTTAATAAATTGATAAAAATAAAACTTTGTTTTCTCTATTAAATCAAGTGTTATATAAAATACTTTTACACAAAATGTTTAAACTAATGGATACCTGTTTGCACACCGTATGCCTGTTGGCGGTCGCCTTCCTATGGGTACCGGCGCTGAGGGCTGACGACACGACCAGTGATGCCTCATTTACGGACATCGGGTCGGACACCACTCTGACAGGCAGTGCCGACAGCACCGGCTTATGTGGACTCAAAAAGATCGTACGAACACCCAAAATCATCAATGGCAAAGACGCGTACCATGGTCAGTACCCGTGGGCTGTGTCGCTGCGCCTACACCGGCGACACCACTGCGGCGGTGCTCTCATCGACCACCAGTGGGTGCTCACAGCCGCCCACTGTGTCGCCCAAATCAGTCACCGCGTGTTTACCGTCAAACTCGGCGGTCATTACCGTAACACCGAATACGAGGTGACGTCGGTTGAGGTGCCCGTCAGCCGTGTGGTGCCTCACGAGGGCTTCAGTTTCAGCTCGTTTGCCAACGACATAGCGCTGGTCAAGTTGGCCAAGAGTGTCGACTATAGCAACTACGTGTGGCCCGTATGCCTGCCCACCACCGACGCCGTTGATTACGCTAATAGTACGGGTGTTGTGATCGGTTGGGGCAAGATTTCCACCGCCGGTGTGTCGGCCTCCAGCCTACAGCAGGTGGAGCTCCCTATCATCGATAATCCCAAGTGTATCAAGTGGTACGAGTCCCAGGGCAAAGTGATCCCGATCAGGTTTGTATATTATTGTATCATTGTAATGTTATGATGCACGTTGCGATACACAGTAATTCGTTATTAATACTAAACCAGATTTATAAAATGCACGATTTTATAATCATCATGATTGCTATTATTTTAATATTTACCATAATTACTGTTTACTGTAATATATGAAATGATTATAATGACCATGGTATTTTTGAAGGTCGAGTCAATTCTGCGCGGGTCTGGAGGAGGGAGGAAAGGACGCGTGTCAGGGAGACTCCGGGTCGCCGATGATGCGCGTGGACTCGACCAATGGCCAGGCGATGGCCATCGGTATTGTGTCGGCTGGTATTGGTTGCGCTCTACCCAAACTGCCCGGATTGTACACTCGGGTGGCCTCCTATTTGCCGTGGCTTCAGAAAGTGATGGCCACAACACCCAGTGTAGAGAAACTGCCACCAATTGTGCCCGATGTGAGCAAAATATTCAATATAACGGCGCCCATACATACGGTGCCGGCAGGCAATGGCAGCGTTATTATCATAACCCAAGTGCTGCATAATCTTACTCACATCAGACCGCCCACCACTACCACATCCGCACCGGTAGTCACCACTACTTTATCATCATTTAATACAAATAAGACTACAACTGTTTAATTAGTTTCATAAAATAAAATGTAATTTTAAATTACCAATACACCATAAATAATTATTTTTACTTATTTGATAATTTAATAAATACATAAGTGAAATATTTTGTTCTTATTTAATCAATACTTTCATTTTACACATGTATAGTGTTCTCGCTTTAAGCACAATAAACATCACTCGAGAGATTAAGAAATAAATAGATTATCTTTCTATTAATCCCCGATTTATATTAACCCATCGATGATTTATATGAAAACATGTGATCACTTTATGTACCATTCGTTTTATATTTTAAAAACACTAGATTTTCATTTTCGGGACAAACATTCATTTTGAGTGAAACTTAGAGTTCAGTCACATATTTATTTGATTATTTTATAATAATTCAAATCATCGGTTATAATGTCCCACAATATGAACGCCACTCATAGCAACTATTTGAATGAAGTGATTGTAAATACGGACCAGTCGTACAGATATATGGTGTATAGACTTTACCATCAATTGCCCGAATGTCAGTACTATGTGTGTAATAATATGTTCCGTTGCCTACAAATAATGGCCAAAGTGTGGTCACAACCGCTTCACCCGAAGTGCACCGAAGAGGCAATGATAACAAGAATGCAATGCATTGCGGATCTCATAATCGTATTATTATGTGTCGTAATCGGCGTATACGTAGCCATCAATGGCCGCGCGTTTACACCACCGCCCAATTGGTTGACGACTATCACCGCATGGATGGGTGTTTGCGGTTACCTTTGCTTCAATATATATGTCATAAACAATATGACCAGTAATTACAGCCGTATTATATCGGATCAGTGGACGTACTGGTGGTCGGACAGGAAATATATGGATATAATGTGGTGGCCTAAACTCGAGGCTTGTTTTATGTGCGCAAACATTATCCGCTGTTCAGCATGGTTACATTTATCTATAGTTCTGTATATAGCATTTCTTGTTGATTGCACCATGATCATTTTATATTATGGATTTGACTACGTGTATAGTTGGATTAATGGGGGCACTTATAGGCGCACTAAATTTATAAAGAGATTTTGTTTGTTTTCATTATATTTATGTTTAATGCAATTGTTTGCCATAATTTACTGTATGTGGTTTTATATTTACCAATGTAGAACTAGAATCGCTTAAATTTACATTTTGCTATTTGGATTGCTATTAAATAACTATGCGTTAATGTTGTTCACTTTTGATTTAAAAATGTAGTTTTAAATATTACTGGGGTTACATGTATTGCACACAATGCTGTTATTAAATATTATTGACATAACATTATAGTTTTAATATTTTAAAATAATTTTATTAATACAATCTTTATATGATAGATAGATAAAGTCTATTATTTATAATATCGTGATATATATGCTTTAAGATTTTTAACATAATACAAGATAATTATTATTAATATTATAAGTAAAATAATTAATTATTAAAAGTACTTTATTGAAAAATTAATACTATGTTTATTTTTAAAAATTAATGCTAATAATTTATTATAAATTATATTAAATATTTTTATTTATTTATGTATCCTAAAAACCTATAGATAAAACGCGTCTTATTTAATAAAAATAGTGTATTTTAGAAAAAAGTTGCATAACTATGGGTTCGGCTTATCTATAGTTTCGCATATATTTCAAATTCATATTTCTTTATGTTCCCCGTATGCCTGCCCACCACCGACGCCGTTGATTACGCTAATAGTACAGGTGTTGTGATCGGTTGGGGCAAGATTTCCACCGCCGGTGTGTCGGCCTCCAGCCTACAGCAGGTGGAGCTCTCGATCATCGATAACCCCAAGTGTATCAAGTGGTACGAGTCTCAGGGCAAAGTGATCCCGATCAGGTTTGTATATTAGTGTATCATTATAATGGTATGATGCACGTTGCGATACACAGTAATTAGTTTGTAATACTGAACCAAAATTATAAAATGCACGATTTTATAATTATTATGATTGCTATTATTTTAATATTTTAATTTGTACAATATTATATGCAATGATTATAATGACCATGGTAATTTTGAAGGTCGAGCCAATTCTGCGCGGGTCTGGAAGAGGGAGGAAAGGACGCGTGTCAGGGAGACTCCGGGTCGCCGATGATGCGCGTGGACTCGACCAATGGCCAGGCGATGGCCATCGGTATTGTGTCGGCCGGTATCGGCTGCGCTCTACCCAAACTGCCCGGACTGTACACTCGGGTGGCCTCCTATTTGCCGTGGCTTCAGAAAGTGATGGCCACAACACCCGCTGTAGAGAAACTGCCACCACTTGTGCCCGATGTGAGCAAAATATTCAATATAACGGCGCCAATACATACGGTGCCGGCCGGCAATGGCAGCGTCATTATTATCACATAAGTGCTGCATAATCTGACTTATGTCAAACCGCCCACCACTATCACATTCGCACCGGTAGTCAAAACTACTTTATCATCAATGATTCATCATTTAATACAAATAAGACTACAACTGTTTATTTAGTTTCATGAAATAAAATGTAATTTTAAATTTTTAATTAACCATAAATAATTATTTTTACTTATTTGATAATTTAATAAATACATAATTAAAATATATAATTAATATTTCAATATTATACATGATTTATATTATATATAGATAACATACCTGATTTATATTATATATAGATAACATACCTGATTTATATTATATATAGATAACATACCTGATTTATATTATATATAGATA